ATTTCGAGTGTTTATATTCTGATTATCAAAGAATATTACTTCATTTCAGGGTACCCTGCCTCACATAGGGAAGAACTGCCAAGGTGATACCCTCACAAAAAGGGAGGGGGCATCCCTGGTACTCCTTATTTCAGTAAATTTTTCCGTCCTAGAGGCGTAGTATACCAAGAATGGCCCTCTCCCTATTTATTCTTTACCTGTTAAAATTTAATAATTTCTTTTAAAATTAATTATTACCAAAGTTTTATTCGTAACTTCGCCAATTACTACAAAAAAAGTATTTATTTCCTCCTCTTTTTTATTTAAAAAAATACATTAGCCAGGAAATAGTAATAAAATGCGCAAGCATTTTGTCTCAATTGACGTCAATTTATGTTTAACTAAAAATACTCCAGAACAAGTTTTAACTTTTTTTGTGTGCTTTTATTGGGAGCAAAGGTTTAAAAAGTAAAGAAAAAGTTCGTTCTGACTCATATTTCTGATTTTGATTTTATTTAAAATTATAAAACCAGAATTTACAAATAAGAAAACTTGAGAAAATACAAAATGTGTTTTCTTGTTATACATATCAGCATATTTATTAAAAACCAGAATTTTTAAATAAACCTGAATTAATAACCAGAATTAAGTGAAATACAAACTTATTCTAAATAATTATTCTGGTTTTATAAAAATAAATAAACTTTAATTAATTCTGAAAAAGTTTTACAATCAGAATTTTTAATTAAACCAGAATTATAAGCCAGAATAATGTAAAATATAAACTTATTTTAAATAAATATTCTGATTTTTAAAAAGGTTGTAACATTTAAATTAATTTTTAAAAAATTCTGAAAAAGTTTAACAACCAGAATTAAATGTTTTACAATTTTACAATTAAGTTTTACAATTTTACAATTAATTTATAGAATAAAATAAATTTTAAATGATTACAAATACTTTCCTTCTATTTTTATTTCCCCAACTTTTTATTATTTTTGAATTAATCCATTTTGGGGAAGCAGTTGGTGGTATTGCTGAGATGAAGGCTCTAACAGGCAATTTTTTTTATTTTTTTCTCCTAAAAATATTTTTTCCTTAAAAATTTGACCTACCCTTTATAATTTTATTTTTCAAAAAAAATTTTTTTAGGAGACGCCCCCTACCTCGGAACTGGAAATCAAGAACAGGCATTTGATTCTCTTCCCCAATATTTTTTAAATTAATTTATTTTAAGGCACCCGAATATTTCGGAGAAGCAGCAATGAGACAATACGATTCAAATCCAGCCTATTCATACTACAATAATGGGTATTACGGTCCTTCAAGGTCCTCTTAATTTAAATCTATTTTAAACTAATTTTTTTGTTTAATTAAAAGGTATTTTCGCAATTACTATAGAACTCTTCCCTACCGCAATTATGGAGGCAATTACGGACCGATGGGAGGAGGAGGAGGTTGTCCTCAGCCTTGTAGCTAATTAACAAATTGCCTTTACTTTAACAAATTTTTCTATTAACTATATATTTTGCTTGTTAAATTAAAATTAACACATTTTTATATTTTTCCTTTTAGCTTTTACAAAGTCCGTTATATTGCCTTTAATTAACTAAATATAATTATTTTTTAAATGCAATTTTGTCCCAGAATAAATTAATATTTTTTAAATTAAATTCTTGATTGCTTGTAAAGTAAGGAACGTAGATCCACGATTTAAAACGCAAGAAAAAGATCATGAAGGTAACAGTAGCCTGCCTGTAGCTATGTCGGTAAAGCAGCTTTACGTGTTGAGCTAAAGCTCCTCGCAATAACTGCCTGTTTTTTATTCTATTTTTTGCTTTTAAAATTTTTTTGCTTTGCTTATGCCAATTTGATTCTTAAAAGTAATTTTAAAAATTTTATTTTCAGTTTTTCCATATAGTCGTTACTATAATAGAGCAAGTATTCCATTTATTAGCAATAATAATTTTGGTTCATCACCTTTTGGAGGATTTTATAATGGAAGGGGAAATGATTGGATATAAATTTAAAAATATTATTTTGATTAAAAAATTATTTTAAAAAATTGTTTTTTATTTTTTTTTGCCTTTTTTAAAATTTTTAAAGCAACTTTTCAATGATTTTTTAATATTTTTTTCAATAATTTTCACAAAAAATTAAAGCCAATTTTTTAAAATTAAAAATAAAATTTTATAAATATTTATATTCATTATTAAATAATTAATATTTATATCGCTAAACTAATTTTTCCAGTTTTTATAACCAAAAACGAGAATAAGCGACAGTCAACGAAAATTTTCTTTTAAAAAAGGATTGAATAGACTTTATTTGTTTTGTTCTCTCATGAGGAGTCGTAGCTCAGTGGCAGAGCAATTGACTGCAGATCAATAGGTCACCGGTTCAAATCCGGTCGGCTCCTATTTTTATTTTCTTTTTTTAAAAATTACTAAAAAATATTTCCTTACATAATAACCACAAAGATGTTAGAAATTTATTTTTTTAAACATTTTAAAATAAAAATAAATAAGAATAACAAATTAAATACAAATTTATATACTACAGCCCGCATTGTTAATATAAAAACTTCCCTTTTCCTCAACCGGATAGTGAATTACCTAAAAATAATTTTATTTAATAAAACCTGCAGGAAAAATTCATATTTACAAACCTTTCCGGAATAAATATAAATACATAATTCTTTCCGGAAAAATATTCAATGTTTCCGAAAAATATATTTATTCATTTCCGGAAGAAATTGTCTATAATTTTCCGGGAATATAGCAGACCTGTGCATGGACACGGATTTTGCTATCCGTATCCGGATATATCCGTGAGGTCAATATCCGTATCCATCCGTATCCGTTCGATTTTTAAAAAAAACATTATCCATATCCGTCCGTATCCGGATATATCCGCGGATATCCGGATATTATCCGTATCCGTGCACAGGTCTGGAATATAGTACTTTTATTTCTTCCGGAAAATGAATTTAAAATTTTCCGGAAAACAACCTATTATTATTTTTAAAACTTTTCCGGAATAAATATAAATAAATAATTCCTTCCGGAAATAATTTCCTAAAAACTTCTAACCACGTGTTCATTAATTGCACCGTGCTCGTAATGCCTTATTCCGATAGCACATTTAATATCAGGAATAGAAGGAAGTAGACAACGCAATGGACCGGGACAATTCATGGGGCGTTTGCTTCGTCCATAAAATATTCTAGTAAAATATTTAAAAAATAATATTCCAATTAAAGATTACCTATTATAACATGCCGATATAATAGGGTAATAAATTACTCTATGGGGTAGTCGAGAAAACTTTAAAAAATTTTTTTAAGTTAATTAAAATTAAAAAAGATCACTTTTTCAGCCAAATGTGGCGTTGTTAAAATAAATTTTCGAAATTTATTTTCCAATTTTGTTGCTGCTTCGGGTCGTATTATATCAGAAATTTGATAATTAAACATTTTGAATACCTTTAAAATTTATTTAAAATTATTTTTAATTTTATTTAAATAAATTTGGAAATATGGGGATTAAATAATTGACGTTAAATTGCGCATAATAATAATTACCCGATTTATTAAAGGAACATTAATTGCATCATGGTCTATCTAAAAATAAATTTAACATAAATTTAAATAAAAAATTGAATATAGACCATGCTCCAATTCCTAAAATGTAAAATAAAATTTTGTGAATCTGGCACTAAATACATTCGACCTTTATCAACCTTTTCAAAAATTTAAATTAAAAAAATTAAATAAAAAAATTCACAATTCCTGGCCAATGTAACCAAACACTCTGAACATTTTTTGGTTTAACTACATACCTTTAGATAATTTTTAAATGATTTTTAGATAGAGTTTGGGGACAGTCTTTAGAATTCATTCAAATTTTAAATGACTTATTTAAGTGGACAAGGGAAATTTTAATTTTATTCTCTAATTTATTTTCTTCCGGAAAATGAATTGGTAATATATTTTCCGGATTATTCTAATTGAATGGCCGCCATTCTATTTTTCAATACCCCAAAAATGTGTCATTCAAATGGAGGTGGCCATTCAAATAGAGGGGCCATTCAATTAGAATAAATACGGTAGATAATTCTTTCCGGAAAATGAATTAATATTTTTCCGGAAATATTAATATTTATAGGAAGCATTTTTTAAATTTCCGGAAGTTCCGGAAAAATTATTTTTTATTTCCTCGTAAAATTATTAAGGAAAAATCTACTTTGGATCTTCCCATTCTTCAGCAATTCTAGCCCCATTTATTAATGATAATAATGAAAAATCTTTTGGATCATTGCCTTAAAAAATTAGAAAATTAATTTTAAAGCTTCTAATAAGAAAAGTAATTTACTTGTAATTAGATGAGTATTATAACGATTATAACTAATTTAAAAAAATAAATTTATCTAAATTAAAAGATAAAAAATAAACTAAAATCCAGCTGAATTAGGCAATTGCGCACTTAAATGTCTAAATTCTCCAAGAAAACTTCCATCCCCCAAACGAGGTATTAAAACATCATCCAAATCGGAAATAATAATAAATTCGGCCGCTTCCAAAAAATAAATACAATTTAGCATTTTTTAAAAAATTAGACCCCACTTTGTAATAGATTAAACAATCAGTATGGGCAGCTGCTTGATTTCTGTTTAAGTAAAGCTTAATTTTATGAAGGAATAAAAGGATATATTCCGGAAAATAAATTAATATTATTTTCCGGAAAATTCTATTTATTTTTAAACTTTCCGGAATAAATACATAAATTTCCGGAATAAATCCGGAAAATAAGTTAGCATTTTCCGGAAAGAAATTAATAATTTCCGGAAACATTTTTTATTTCCGGATTTATTACAAATAAATAGTTCTTTCCGGAAAATAAATTAATATATTTTCCGGAAAAGTATCAATTTCTTAATTTCCGGAATAAAAGCTTCAAAATGCAGGAATACTTTTTATTATTTTGATATAATAATTTTCCGGAAAACAATTTCCGGAAAGTTTAAAATGATTCATAAAACCATTTAATATTTGAATAAAAACACCTCCATTCCAACTCAGCATTAGGGTCATAATCTAAAGGTTTAAAAGAGCTATCAACAGGCATAGATATATTAAACTTTGTCCATGCTTCTATTCTTATAATTTTTTCATTTTCATAAATCTATTATTTTTTAATTTTAATTTAATTTAAGAGCCTTTACCCTCATAAAATCGAGAATTTCGACTAACATGCTTTGAATATAATATACTTGTAATGACACCCCATATTGTCGATAAATTTCCAACTAGAATTTTAAAATATTTTTAAATTCATTTTAAAATTTCACCGTTGGAATAATTAATTGCCACCTTTCATTAAAGAAAAGAGGACTGAAACAGGCAACTACAGGCAAGTGCTCCGCACTGACTTTTCTGTAGGGGACGGGTACTGAATTTGAATGGACATGCATGTCGCGCAAGGCAAATTGAGAAGGGGATTGAACTGTTGGGCAGACTGCTAAAAAGACTGACCTTAAAAATTTTTTTGAAAAATTTTTTTTGAAATTTCTTGAAAAATTCTTTTAAAACAAACCATCCACAAATAAGAATAGGAGTGAATGCGTGCCGAACACGAGGCAAAGAGGTGAGGGAATGAGTGGCATTATGACTATGACCTCAAAAATATTTTTAAATTTTTATTGGATTTTTATTAGAACTCACAAAGCAACGGCCATGGAGGCCAAAACCTTCTTTGCGCATTAAAAAGGACAACCATTGTATTTGAAGGATAACTGGATTATTTTAAAAATAATTATTTTTTCAGTAAAAAATACCTTGAAGAATTAAAAAAATAATTAGTTGAGATAATAGCAATATGTTGGGTGCTATAAAATAAATTTTTAAATTTTGAGAAAATTTAAAAATTTTTTAAAAAACCTCCAAGGCATATTAAAAGTAATGCAAAGAATAAATAAAAAACCAAGTAAAAATGCACGCGTAATAATACGACGAACTCTTTAAATTATTATTTATTTTTTAAAAATTTATTTTCTAATCTACTTTTGGAAATGGGTCTTGTTCAGTATCATCTGTTCCAGAGAATGCCCACAACTTGAATAATAATTATTTATTTTTTGAAAAATAAAATTTAAAAAATTAGTACTATTTTTAAAAGTATTTTTATGTTATTCCCCGTCTCGGAAATCGCAGAAATTTTTTAGTTAAAATAAAAATACAAACAAATGTAGATAATATAAATATACACACATATTTTTTATAAAAATAATTTTTTTTGATCATTTTATTTTTCTTTTTTAACTTTTAGCGTTCTAAACTACCAAATAATTTATGTATTTATTCAATAAAAACAACAAAAATTATATTTTATCTACAAAATTTATCGGAAACTTGATCTTTTTACATAAAAGAATTGAAAGGTTATTATACCTAACAATTATTGAAAATGACTTTAATTGTTAGTTAGAGTTAAGACAAATTCTGTTAAATTATAAAGAATTGTTATTGTTTGGACGATTTCGAATTGGAATGATTGGGAAGAACTTATGTATTGGAAGAATTTACGAGTTTCGCCTTTCGTCTTTGGTTTTCGCGCTTTTTAAAATCACTTTCGGCACACCCCGGTTATTGTGGTCTTTGGATCTTTGGACGATTTTTATTTAGTTATCTGAGTACAGGGATATAAATTCGATCGATCCGTAGGTTCGTTTCATAGTATCTTAGGTCAGAATCAAATTCTCAGATTCGAGCTAAAATCAGAAATCAACCTCTCGCTCCCTGATCCATAAATAATAATTTCAAAATCCTAATATTATTTAAGAACCTTTGCCAATTTATTGTCAAACATTTGAACCAAATATAGTTACGAATTAAAAAGAAAAATCTTTTTAACAGCATCATTAATGTGTTTAATAATTAATTTTATTTTTTTATTTTAATGAGTTGAAGATTAATAAATAAAATCATATTCTTTTTTATAAAATTTAATGAATTAAATTAAACATATACATATGTATTCCTAACATTAAAACCTACATATTTTAATGTTTTAATGTTCATTGAGGATATCTCTTTTTGAAAGATTTATATCTAAACATGATGAGTCTGAAAGGAAGAAAGAAAAGAAATGACCAAAAATGGAGTTGAAAATTGTTCATCCGAATGAATCGTTTTTTTGAGGGGATTTATGTTTAAAATATTTTTTAAATAAAATTTTTAAATAATGTGAAATTGTTTTTATAAAAATTTAGACTTCAAAAAATGTCTGTATCCTTGATGTAAATAGTTTTGAGATGGTTTGATTGATGTCTTTCTTAACAGAAAATCCTACAATTTAACTTTATAAACAAATCATTAAAATTTTATATCATTCAAAAGATTATTAAAAATAAAAAGAAAAAATAATTAATTTAAATTTCTTTAAATGAAAAAGCTTTAACTACCGCACCTTAGGTCAAAATTTTCTACAATCATATACCTAATTCTTATTTTATTCAAAACAATTGTTAAATAAATAAATCATTATCCTACATATATATTCGACCTTTTTCTTATAATACATAAATTATTTTTCACAACATTTATTATTTTTATAAATTATTACTCTTATGAATTGCCATGGTTCACTACCTTTTATTATTCTTATATTATAACATATACATTTAGTAAAAGGAAAATCAGGATTATAAAATTTCCGGAAAATACAAGTGTACCTTTATTATAAATTCCGGAAAAATACAATACAAATAAACTTTTCCGGAAACGCGTTAATACTAATTTCCGGAAAATAAAATAGAATTATTCTGAATTAATGTATTTTCCGGAAACATTTAATTATATTTAAAGTTTCCGGAAAGATGGTAATATTTATTCCTTCCGGAAAACTTAAGCTTATAATTAATATTTCCCGAAGAAATATAAATATGTAAATTATACCGGAAAAAATTAAATTTATATATTTTCCGGAAAACTTTATATCCCTAAGTATATAAACTTTCCGGAATACACATGTTATATTATTCCTTAAATATTAAAAATAAAAATAATTAAGCATTTTTACATATTTACATGCTTGAATAATTGTTTATTTTGTACGTCTTTTGTTGTTTTAAATAAAGAAGAGTACCGCTGTCCTTTCCGGGTGAGTTAAAAAATAAATAAAAAATATTTATATATTTTACAAAATACCCAGTTGAGAAGGGATGTTTTTGTTTAGTTTTTTGTATTGTTTATAATAAAGAAAGAAATATTTAAAAATGTCACTAAATCCAATGAGGCGAAATTTAAAAAAAATTATAAAAAAAGTGCAAGAAAAATTATTTAAATTATATTTAGTTAAAAAATAATTTTAGACTTTTTAAAATCAACTACGATAGATCTAGAATTTACATACTTTTTTTTAATTCTGAAAGGCTACTGGTTTTGAGCGAGAGCTGCCTAACTGCCTAAGCGATACATCCAATTTTGCATAAATGCCCTAAAAATATTTTTCAAATTTATTTTTCCGATCATAAAAAACAATTTTAATATCTATCCAAATCCAAGACTTTCCGATTTTTAACTTTTTTTTTTTGAAAATTAATTAAAAAGTAAACTATCATTTTTAATTATTTATGTTATGTAGCTCCTCAACTTTCCTTCCTTCGGACATTGCGTTTATTTACCCTTTGTGTCCACTTTTTTCCTTTTATAAATAATCCGGTTTTTTCTACAATGATGTTGATGATATTCCCCCAAAAATTCTGTTTTGGGGGAACTCTCATTAATAGGAGGGAAAAGAGGATTGAAGAGGATATTTTTTGAAGGTAAAAAAGCTAAAAAATAAAAAAGAGATATATTCTTCCTAAAATATTTTAAAAGTACAAATTGAAAATTTATTTTTTTAACTTTTTAATTCCCAAAAAAGCTCTTTCGGAACTACATAGAAAATCAAAAACATTTTCTCAAAATTACTTCTAAAATTTTAAAATCGAAAAAAAGGTTCTGTTCCTGAATTTTCTCAATCCATCTAGTATTTTCAAAAATTTAATTAGGAGCTGTCATGAAAAATTTCCAAGGCTCAAAACTGAGGATTATGGCCAAGAGGATCAAGACCGCATTTTAAGACCAAGCCCGAAAGTTTCCAAATCTCTAATCCCGCAACTTTTATTGTTCCCCAAAATTTTTGAGAATCTCCCCTTTATTTTCACTTTTAAGCAGCTTTCATCCAAGCTTTTTTTTATTTTTTAAAAAGGATAAGGGTTGTGTGGAACACGTTTTCACTAGAAGAGGATTTATAAAAGCAAGAGAAGATTGGTTGGTTGATTGGTTGCGCTCGGGTTGCGCCGATCTCACGTAATTATATGATGGACATTACGTGATGAAAAAATAAATTGTTTTGTTGTTTAAGCAAGTTTAGAGAACAAAAATGAAAGTGGATGGATGGACAGATGATGATGGGCAATATTTAGAAAAAAAATTATTTTTTTGTGGATGTGAGGATTGCTTGAAAAGTTCATTTGAGTTTTTTGGAAGCTGAGAGGAGAGGAACAAGTTTCTCCTTTGAGGCATTTAAAAAGTTTAAACATTTTCTGATTTTTAAATAAATAATTTATTTCTCTAATTAAAAATTATTTTTAAAAAATTAAAAAAAAATTTAAATTAATTTTCAGACTTTAACTAACAGTCCACCAATTTTTCTATTTTTTTTGTTTTTCCTCCGGCTGGCGCCCTATGTCCCTTTATTTTTTTCTACTCACTTTCCCCATTCACAATTTGGACAGAGTTAAAAAACCTGTTGATCAAAAATTTTCTTTTTTTCTCCCAATTTTTATTTTCATGTGATTAAATAAAAGTGGACATGGATGGACTTTAATATATATTTAAAAATATACTTATATTTTAAATGACCGACCAAATTGTGAAAATTTACAGAATCTATTCTTTCATTAAAAAAAATTTTTTTTTTTTGAAAAATTTTTTTTTCACAATAATTTTAAATATTTTATTTGGCAACATTCAAATAGGTAATTATTTTAAATTTCAATTTTTATCTTAGCAATTTTTTAAAAATAATTTTAGAACCAATAGTACTGATATTTCAAAATATTTTTTCCTACCTCCCGACAGTAACGGGAATTAACTGAAATTTTTAACACTGCTTTTATTCTCTAAAATTCAATTTTCGAACTTTTCTTTCCATTTAATTTTTAAAAAGTTTGAAAAATTCTTCTAGTTTTTAGGGGTTTATTATACCGATTTTTTTATTTTTTAATATTTTTAATATTAAAAATCTTTAAATTTTTTTTTAATTTCTTATTCTTTCTAATTTTATTTTTTCCTCCTCCACATTCACTTTTACATATGCACTTCCCTATTTTTTATTTTTTTTATATTTTTTCTTTCACTCATCATTCGCGCAGTAAGCGATTACACAGCAGTCAGCCGGTGTCCATCTAAAAATTGCCTAATGGTTGGAGGACTGCACTTTTGTTTAAAAAAAGGAGAGAAAATGCGGATGTTTGTCCATTCAAATGGAAAAGGATAAAAAAGGAGGAAAAAAGGATGAAGAGGATTTTTAAGAGAAAAAAGTGAATATTTTTTGAATGCAACAAAAAAAAATTTTTTTACACAAAGGAAGAGAGGGAAGGTGAAGAGGACAGAGAGCGCATCCATGCGCTATAAACATGTATATAATGGACACAAAAAAAGATGGCCGAAAAGTGGAAGGAAAAATTTTGTTTAGGCTGAAACAGGTGGACAAAGATGGACGGAGAGGGGGATAGTTTTTTGTTAAATTTTTGTTTATTTTGTAATGTTTAGGAGAAAAAAATAAATATTATGGACAGTTAATAGTACAAAAAAGAAGAGAATATCGAGAAAATATTAAAGAGGAAGGATGAGAATGAAGATGAAGAAATTTAGAAGGGTTCACAGTCTTTCAACAACTATTGGAAACTATTTGAGACGACTTTATCTCCAACAACGACACACAGTTTCAAATCTCAACCGAGATTGAAACAAAAATACAGCAATTATTAGGCAATATAAATGAAGGAAAATGAATAGAAGGAGTAGAAGGGCATTTTATGAAGATTTAGGAATAAGTTGAATTTGAGGGAAAAGAGGGAATAAAGATAGAAAGATAAGGAAGAGTTTAAAAAATGATATTGATGAAGAGTTTTTGATCAAAAAAGAAGAAGAAAAAAAAAATTATTTAAATAAAAACACAATGTTTGCGCAAATAGTTCGGCTAGCTTACAACGAAAATATGAGCAGGAAGAGATCTATTTTTGGAAAAAAGGAGGGGAAAAGCGAGGAGAAAGCAAGAAAGAGGGGAAAAGCGAGATCAGAAAAATACAAGAAGAAAAAAAATTTTTTTAACGAGAATGAGGAAGAAGGAAAAAGCACTTTTCTTCTTCTTCTTCTTCTACCCTATGTGTTTTTTTTATTATTAGTTGGCCGAAAAAATGAATGGTTATTTATTTTTGTTTGTGAAAATGTCAAAAAATAATGTCCAGTCGGTAGGGAGAGACTAAAGTTGAAGACAAACATCCTCATAAAATATTTCTTCAATTTTTTTTATTTTTTAATATTAAAAGTTTGTTCATGTATTTATTTTTTGTATTTTTGTAAAACAATTTTTAAATAACCATATTTCCTAAGATAATACTCCACGTTGGAGGAGGGTTGAAAAATACTCCTCCCGGGAATACTAGTTTAGAAAATACGGCATGTTTTTTGATAAAAACAATTGGACGTTGAGAAGGATTTTCTTAATTTTCCGTGTTTTTCTCACCTTCCGTTTTGCATTTTCCATTGATTCATTAAGAAAGAACAAGCAAAATTAAAAAATCCAAAAAAGTTTGTTCAGAAATCCCCCCTAGTTTATATGTCTATTCAATCCTACTCGATTTAAGCTTGATTTTCTTTAATACCTTCGAGTTGGTTAACTGTGACTTTTATTTAAATATTTTTTATTTTTTTTTAATTTTTTGCATTTTTATCCTTTCATTGTTTTTTTTTGACTGCACCTTTAAAAACATATAAACTAGGGGGGATTTCTGAACAAACTTTTTTGGATTTTTTTTTTCCCTCTCAGCAGGGGAACTGGCAGAAAAACAACAAAAAAAAATTTCCCGCTTTTTGTATTTTTAAGATTTCGCCCACAAATAATTAACAAAATTCCCCCACATTTTACGTTTTTTATTCAAATTAATTCCCCTCTTATGTACTAACCTTTACCTCTTAATAAATTTCCTCCTAGAAGCTATTTCAAATCCCCACATATTTTTGCCATAAAAAATTTTTTTATATTTTGAATCATACATAGTTGAATATCAGAATATCCCCAATATCTGCCTTTCGATTTTGAATATTTTTCCGAGTTTCAGAAACACATAAAAAGAGTTTCTGAGTTCCTCCGGCATTCCCCTTCCTCCCACCCTCGTTCATCCTACCCTCCCCTTCCTTTCTGCCACCTTTGGCTAATCCAACTAACCCTCATCTGATATTCTAATAATACACCCAGCAAATCTTTTTAGAGGTTTCCTCATCCTTCCTTACTCTTCTCCCTTCCCCTTCCTTTTTTTTCAAAGCAAATCTTCCCCTTTTTTAAAGGATAACAGAAGAGTTTTTGGGGGAAAGGATGATTGAAGTAACAACAAGAGATTGAAGGGAATAAAATATTTATTTATATTTTTAGCAGTTCCTGTTTTGTTTATTTTTTTTGTTTGTTATTTTCTATTTTGCGGCTTTGTTCTTTTATTTTTTTGTTGTTGTTACACGCACAAAAATGTGTTGTTGTGTCCAATTTATACTCTTCTCCTCTTCTTCAATTCGCGCAATGTCCACTCTCACCTCCACTTTCGCAATTTTCATTTTTTCTTCAAAAATCCACACAAAAGTATTTATATATTTATTTTTAGATGGCTGACAGGAATTGTAGAAATTGCGGACAAATATTAATTTTGCGGACAAAATTTTGCGGACGTTAAATTTTTGCAGACAAGACTGAAACTACTACCATTACTTTCCGTCTTCGATTCCCTCCTTCTTCTTCTACAATGATTACCCTTCAGCCCTCCCATAAATTACCTAGTCATGCCTTCAAGCTTAACACATGGTGTCTTTAAATGTCTTTTACGTCTAAAAAAGCTTTTAAAAGATTTCAAATTAAAAGGAAATTAAACAACCTTTTAAAAATTGAATAATATTTACCTTTAAAATTCACTCAGCGCCAAAAACAACCCCGCGCCCAACTTGAATGGCAAACATCGCGCAATCTTCTAACCCCTTAAAAGCAAAAATATATCCTTTTTTCTTATTATAATCGAGAAGAGACAAAAAGTGCTTATAACAGGTCTACTAATTTTTTTCTTGTTTTTTAATCCTTCTCTAGCTGTTCAAGCGAAATTTTAAGAGAAAATAAAAATTGCATAATAAGAGAAAAATGCTGAAAAAGCTTTTAGATTAAATATAAAAATTAAATATATAAATAAACTTGGATTTCTCTTCTTTTCCAAGTTTATTTTTTTTATTAAAAATGCTTAAACTTTTTTTGTTGCAGTATAAATATTAATTAAAACTTGAAACAAAGTTTATTTTCTTTTTTATTTGAATAGTTTCAAGTTTAGTTATTTCAAGTTTATTTTAAAGTTTATTTTCAAGTTTCGAACTTATTTTCAAGTTTCAAACTTATTTTCAAGTTGTAAACTTATTTTCAAGTTGTAAACTTATTTTCAAGTTTATTTTAAGTTTGTTTTCTGTTTCAAGTTTATTTAAATCGTTTAAGTTTAAATTAATATTTAAACTTGCTCACTCGCAAAATTTGCGGATTAAAGTTGCGGACAATTTTAGACAACTTTATTTTAATAAATAAGGGTTATATCTACCATACTTTAAGAATTATTATTTTTTTATTATTTTAGGGGAATCCTCTCCAATATTTTTAATAAAAAATTTTTTTCTGTTAGGTCACCCCTTCAACCAATGGCATAAATTCCACACATTCCTTCTTATACTATATTTTTTGTAAAATAAACATAGACACATTTAATTGTCTCCCAGTTATGTTTTTATTCAAATCCTTTTACCCTTTAGACTTGTCTCTTAAGGGAAATTTCGGAAAAATGCCAAGAAAAAAAAATAAAAAATTTTCTTTAAAGAAATGATTGAAATATATGTCATTTATTTATTTATTTTTTTGTGTCTTTTATTTTGCCAATTTGTCAACAAATTTATTAGAATGCTTTTCTTTATTCTCTTGGGTATAAATAGGCTGTTTAATGCCATACTCTTTTTAACCCTCAAAATACAGTAACCCTTATAAATGTTTTGGTTTCTAGTTTATTCTTTATGATTTTTAGTTAAAACTTGAAGCAAGTTTTAAAGTCAAGTAGTAATTAAAACTTGAAATTAAAGTTGCAACAAAGTTTAATTTTTTATTTTAAATAAGTTCGAGTTTATTTTCAAGTTTTCAATTAATTCAAGTTTATTTTCAGGTTTATTAAGTTTGCTTCAAGTTTTATTTTAAAAATGCTTCAGGTTGAAAAATTAAACTTGTTTCAAGTATATTTAAATTGTTCAAGCTTTAAATTAATGTTTAAAATATTCAAGTTTCATTTTTCGACCTGAAGCATTTTTAAATAAAACATGAAGCATCAAGCTTCATGTACCTTTTATATTTTTTTTCTTAAAAATATCTTTATCAAATATTTTATTTATTTTTTATAGTTATTTAGTTACTCTCTTTTTTCTTTAAGTATATTATATTTTGTTTTTATTTTTAGTTCATCGTCTTTATTTTTTTCTTCAAATATTTTTGCTTTTATTTTTTGAAGCAAATACATATAATAACGCAAATGTCCATTCCTTCATTCTCTTCTCCCCCACCTCTGCCCCATGCGATCGGCCATAAGCGGGAATGAATGAAAGAAATAAAACCCATTTTTTCTCGTTTATAAAACTGCTGTTACCTACCGACCATTACAAACGTGTCTGATTTAAAAAAAGTAGAGGGAGGGGAAGGGGGGTGTTTGTATGTGTGTCCATCGTCGTCCGTACATTTTGGGCATTTTTACGTTTTTTGCTTTTTTTTTGTTCTACCTTTCATTCATTTTTATCTTTTATGTTTTTTTTTTCAATTGTGTACTTTTTTACGATTTTTATTAAAAATTGTGTTTGATTCCCTTAAAGTTTATTTATACATACATATACCTTTAAGCAATGATTAAAGTGACAATAATTTATAAACTTTACGGAAATTGAGGCAATAGGAATAAGTTTTCTTTTAATAAATAAAAAATAAACTTTTTCCGGAAATATATTTTAATAAAATATTAAATATAAACAGAAATTAAACTTTTTCCGGAAACACCCTTTCCGGAAACCCTACTCTAGTTCTTTGTAAATATTTAATATTTTTTTTTATTATACCTCGATATATGTATTACATGAGATTTTCTTCATTTTTTAAATTAATCCTTAAATAAAGTTTCAACTTGCTATATATTAAATAAAATAATTTTATATATTAAAATTAATCTTTTTGTATACACAAAAGTACGATTAATTTAATATTCAAGACCAAAAGCTTTAAATTGTTTTTTGATTTATAATCATTTAAAATTATTCTTTAGAGCTATCCCAGACTTTGATAATCTTTTTAGATTAAGTTAGAAGACTAAATAGACTAAAATACGTATATTTAATTTTGAAAACACTTAATTGCAAAGTTGTATTAATTTTATTTAGGAGAAAGTTATAAAACTTTCCGGAAAGTTTTAAATATAACTCTAAAGGTGTTAGTATTATATTTTAAACTTCCGGAAAGTTTATTATACTAATATCGTTAGAGTTATACTTTTATAATATTTCCGGAAAGTTTTTAAAATTAAATTGTATTTTACCATTTTAGTAAGAAATAAACTTTCCGGAAAGTTTTAATACTTTGCAAGGTTTATAAAGTATAACTCTAATGGCATAATAAACTTTCCGGAAATATTATAACTACTTACAAAAGTTTTTTAATTATAAAAATTAGGTTTTCTCTGTTCATCTTTTGGGGGGTGATTAATAAAAATATTATATAAATATTTTTCTTATTTTTTTTCTAAAATATAGATAAACTTTTTAAAATCCTCCTCAACCTTTCAAAAAAAGTTTTGTGGGAGGAACGCCTTCCGTCAACATTTTTTCTTCTAAAAAATTTTTTTAATACTAATCCTGACCGGAATTATTATTATTTTATTTTTCTTATTTTTTTAAAAAAATATTTTATCGAGACAAACTACATAAATACTACAAATCCCTTCTTTAAAAAAATTTTTTTAATAAATTTATTAGTCAAAGGAAAAGTATGTAAAGCCGTTCGCGCCCTCTAATTTACTTAAAATATTTTTTTCATTAATTCTATAATCTTCAATTATTTTTTAAAATATAATTTAATTTTATTAAAAAAATTTTTTAATAAATTCTTTTTGCATATTTTTTGGAATTTTAAAAGAAAATTAAAAAATATTTATTGAAAAAAATTTTTTTTATTAAAGCTAAAAATTATTAGGCATTCCCAATTTTTAAGATTATTATGGTAAAAGAGAATTTTTTACTACAAAATTTTTTACTAAAAAATGTTTATTTTTGTCAATTTTTGTATGTAACAATTTTTAAGAATTTTTATTGCAAATTTTATTTTTTTTTGCTTCAATTCTTTTAAATTTACAAAAATTATTTTTTAAAAATAGCTACAAAAAGCTATTATTTTCTTTTAAATTTATGAAAAAAATTTTAATGAATAGATATATTAAAAATAACTTATTTAATAGCCTCAAATTTGCAAAAATTTATTTAAAAATAATACTTTTTATTTCCAAAATTGTAAGTGAGAAAAATACGGAAATTATAGAAAAAATGGGTGTTGCAAATTATATGTTTATTTACGGAAGTAAATTGTTTTTGAAAAATATTAAATTAATAAATTTATTTTTACAATTTTTTCGGTTTTTTTAAAAATATAATTTTTTACCTTAATTTTTAATTTTTATTATTTTTATTTTATGCAAATTAGCACACTAATTAGAATTTTTTGTCTAGTCTATAATATAATTAATTTTGTTGTCCTTTACTTAATTTCCGCTATAAAAAATTATTTTTATTTTATTAATTTATTAATAGAATATTTTTGTGCTTTTTACAAAAGAAATGATTAGACTGGTAGGCTATTTATTAATCTCATCTTATGATTATTAATATGCCTAATTTTAACAAGGAAAAATTTTTTTGATCAAAAATTTTAAATTAATTTTACCCTAAATTTTAATATTTATTTTTTTACTTTTATTACTTTAATTATTTTTTTTATTTTTAAAATATTTATTTAATTTATCATTTAAATATAGCAACAAATCTTTTCATTAAAAAATTTGATTAAAATTTAAAAGGAAATTTTTAATTTAAATTTAATTATTAAATAAATATAGGAAGAGATTAAAAACGTTTAAATTAAAAATTAAAGTGCTTCTTGTAATTTTATTTATTTAAATATTTTTGTATTTTATAATTCTTTAAATTAAATATTATTTTAAGTGTATTACTAATTCCTTTCTGCTGAAAAATTTTAATGGATTCTTATTATTTTAGAATTAAAAAATATATTTGAAAATCCATTAAATCTATTCTGAACCCATTAGCTTTTTAATATTTTTCGGAAAGAAAAAATAAACATTTTCCGGAAAGGAAATAATTATTTTCTGGTAGTAAATAAATATCTTCCGGAATAGAATAAATATTTTCCGAAATAGAATAAATATATTCCTGAATAGAATACATATATTCCGGAAGAAATATAAAATTCCGGAAAAAATATTAAATTTTCGGAAGGGAATAAAGGAATAAATATTTTCCGGTTAAAACTAAACATTTTCCGGAAAAAATAAATGTTTCCGGAAGGAGAATAGTATATATTTTCCGGTGAAGAATATTTTCCAAAAAGAAAATAAATATTTTATGAAAAATGTTTCCACAAAGATTTTACAATTATGTAGATATATGTATGTATTATGACAATTTTATTTTACAAACTTGCTTCTAATAATTAAATTAATTTCTTCCAATTATTTAACAAATTTCAGAATATTCTAGAATTAATTTATATTAAAAATATTCCAATTTTAAATAAAAATGAATATTCTACAAAATTGTTTAAGCTGATTAGACTAATTTATTTTTAGTGAGTTTAGAAATATTTTTTTAATTTTAACTTTATATTTAAATTTATTAGAATGGCTACGGCCACACCACTGGCTAGTTCCAGTTCACTTGGAAATTTAATTCAAAATAATAATGATACAGAACAAACAAATGATACCAACAATCAAAAATATTATTTTAATTATATTAAAAATGAAAATAAAAATTGTGGGGAAAATAATATTTTGGAACATTCAGCTTCAAATAATAATATAGCTGCTTTACGTAGAAGTAGCGTTTCGGCTTTTGCATCACCAAAAAATGGAGAGGAGGAAATTGGGAATGATGATAATTGTATTTTAAAAAATATTTTTTTAATTTAAAAAAATTTTTTTTAAAGTTCACCACCCTTTACTGTCTCCTTTATCAATAAATTTTCAATCAGCTACAAACCAAGTAACTACAAATCCAAATAATATTTTTAATAACAAAAAGGAAATGAGTACAAATGTTGGAATTAAACGGCCATTAAGTGTTAGTGAAAATATAAATATTTAATTAAATTTTACTTAATAAATAAGCTTTAAAAAGGTTTCTGGAATAATTAGCTTTTTAATATTCCTCAGAAGATTAATAAACATTTTCCGGAAAAGGATAAATTATTTTCCGAAAAAGAATATTTAATTTCCGGAATTGAAAAAATATTTTCCGGAAGAGAATATACATTTTCCGGGATAGAATAAACATTTTCCGGAAGGTATCAGAATTTCCGGAAAAAGTCTCTATGTAGATAATTTTATTTAAACTTTATTTATTTAAATAATTCTTGAATTCGATGAGAATTTACTTAATTTTTGTAAAATAATTTTATCAAATTGAAAATATAGGTATTTAGGAAATTTATCACAATTTAATGGTTTATAAATAAATTAGGAAGAAACGAAAGGTTTCCTAGTGAGTGTCTGGGTTTGCTAAAAAAATTTTAGACTGAACTGCTTATTATTTGACCAAAGTTGTAATATGAAAAATATAAAAAATTTAAAAAATAATTTCTAAAAATAATTTTTTAAATAAAAGAGCCTAGCTTCACTTCCGCCTAATTTAAATGGAGGTGTTATTACAGCAACAAATAATACCAATATATTAATGCCTAAAACACCAACACAATTAATACCTCCTCCACCTTCAATAAATCAAACAAATATAGCTTCTTCTAATTTTGCTACAATGAATACTGGATTGTCTAATGGAAATCAAATGTTTGCAATGATGCAGGTCGAATTAGAAACATTATTTTACTTATACCTATCGTGTCATTTGAATAATATCCTCAACTGATTACTGCGTAATGCGAATGGTTTAAAATTAAAAATTTTTCTAAAGCGAATCGCCTCTGGGCAAAAGAAATTTTTCAAGTCTTGTTTCCATTTAAATTAAATTTTGTTTAATTCAAAAGATTAGGAGAAGTTCTTCGAGCCTTGTAGAAACCTTAAGAGAAGGGAGTTTCTAATTTTAAATTTTTTTTTATTAGAATCTCGTCATTTAGCTAACCCAAACTTTCTAATTTTAAAAAATCTTTTCATTATTTAATACAAAATTATTTTTTTAAATTTAAAATAGGGAGATTTACATATCTTTAATGACCTTAAAATTGATGCGTATATTTATAATAATTTTAATTATATAGGCACGTTTTTTTAATAAATACGTAAAAGACCTAATTAAGGAACATCTAATTATAGTGAAAAAATTTTTTATAAAATTTTTTTGACATTTTAAGAATATTAATTAACTTTTAAAAATATATTCTTAATATTATTTTAACGTAATTTTACTTTTTTTAATCGGGGATGATGAGATACTTGCATTTCGACACTTGCGGGTCACGAACAAAATTAAAAAATTTTTAAAAATTTAAAATATTATCCAAACTTATTTTTGATAGTTTAACTCTTAGACAGGCTTAATTTTTAATTTTTTTACTTTCCCCTCTCTGAACAATATACAATCCAGAATTCAGCAGACCGCAGGTTTCTTGTCGCCGTTTTAATTATTCCCTTTTTTTAATCAAAAAAAATAGTCTAAAAATAGGCCAAATATAAATGATATACAAAATTGCAAATCAGACGAGAGGTAAAAGAGGAATTAGGTTAAAGGGAGATTTGGTTTTTTGATTTTTAAATAATGTTATGAAGAATTTGTAAAAATAAATGACCAACTTTTAATAATAAAATTAAAATAGTAAAGAATTTTTTGGATATATAAAATAAGCCAAAATATACATATTAATTTTTAATAGAACAGTCTTTAAAAAAATTATTTTTTTGTAAATACTAACAGTAAAAAATTTAAGTATAACTCTAGTATAAGTATAACTCTAAAATAACTTTAAGTATAACGCTATCTAAATAAGTTATAATATTTTCCGGAAAACACAATTATAATATTTAAAAAATAAAAATAATTCCGGAAGAACACTTGAGTTTTATTTAAACATTTAATTATGTATAAAATACTTTCCGGAAACCATAAATTAATACAAAAATATTTTCCGGAAACATTTGTGTTTTACTTAAAACATTTAATTCTCTATAAAATATAATTTCCGGAAAACACAAAATTATAGATATATTAATATAATTTCCGGAAAACACTTGTATTTTCAAACTTAAAAAACACAAATTTTAGGCTTTAAATAATTTTCGCTCTCGTCAACAACAACAAAATATTCATTTATTAAAACCTTCAACTAATTCTACTTCATTGGACGACAATAATAATCCTTTGTTGCTTATGGCGTTTAAACAGTTTGGTAGAGCTGCATTAACTAATAATGATTATAGGGTCGGTTTTTAAAAATTTGGTTTTTAAAATTTCTTTATTCCGGGATAGTCTGGATGTGGTTTTAAACCAAAATAAATTAGGATACATCAGAATATTAAAATTCCCTGTTCCTGCCTTCCCTCAATTCTCACCTTTTTCCTTTCTTTCCGTTACTATTTTTTAAATTTAATTTATTCCAGCCTGTATAAATATAATTTTCCGGAAAACACACGTACATGTAAGTTTCCGGAAAATACATGTTAAACATTTAATTCTTTGTATAAAATAGAATTTTCCGGAAAATACAAAATTATAAATATAATTTCCGGAAAACGAGGCATACTTCTTCCTTCCGTTTTTTTATTTTATTATGACTTTCTTTGTCTTCAATTTTTTTAAAAATTAGTTTACAACATCCCTAGTCTGCTTTATAAAATATATTAACCTTTTATTTAAACATTGATCTTTTCTTCTTTTTTAATTCATCATTACTGACCTTCCTTCCGTATTTTTCTAAAAATTATTTATTTATATCGCTGGTTGCTTGCATTGAGGTCATCGCTGGGTCAACTGCTTTTACTGGGAACTTTTGAGGGGAAAACGAGAAGGATATGTATTTAGTAGTTGAAAGGGGGATAGAGAAACTCCTTTGTGCGCTCTAATTTTTAAAATTTTGTTTTTATTTAAAAATTAATTTTTAATAATTAAAAAGGGTTCAATTTAAGCAATATATGTACTCCAGTCTTCAAAATATTTTTTAATTTTTTTAACTTTATAAATATAATTCTCACCATAGAATTCACTCCACCTATATTAACAAGATTTTCTTCTCAAAATATTTCTTTACAATTGATTTCCGTAACAACAGTTTGCGGATTGTTCCTTTTTAAATTTTTTTTCTGGGTGCAGACGGGCCCTCCAGCAGTGGTTCGAATTTTGAAATTTGCATACTCGTACTTGTCCTGTTTTATTTTTTCGTACTCAATACTCCCCTGCTTCTCCCGGCTCTTCTTGTTCATTATTTACTGTATTAGGGTTGACTCACTATTTTTTTATTAAAATAAAAAAAATTCCAAAAATAAAAAATCTTTAATTTAATTGACCTTTAACAACAACCCCCCCCCCCCCCATTCTCGTCAATAAATTAAATAAGAAAAAATATTATTTTCATTTTATCTTATTTGCCCTTTACCCTGTCTCACGGCCTTTCAACAAAACACATACACACTCAGTTTGTGCGCCCTTCAATGTTTACGAGAATATAACGAAGAAAAAATTGTATTTATTAATAATATCGAGATAAAATTTTATTTTTAAATAAAATTTTAGTAAAAATAATTTTAGTATAATTTTTAGGAGGATAGATAACTCGAGAATTTAATTTTAAAATAATTTTGTAATTTATTTTTTAATAAAAGACTTCCGAAGGGGTCTAGTTGAAGCCGATCTAAATTCCCCCGCCTTTTTGAGATACCCTAGACGTCATTTTTTTCAATTAGGTCTTTTTTCAATAAATTATACATACCATAATATTCTTGAAAGCAAAGCCCTCCCTGAATTCCAACAGCTCCTCTTCCTGTTGAAAGAGACCAGGACCGTAACCTACATATCTCGAGCAAAAATCTCGGCTATTGAGATGGATATTTTTCTAGGTATCCTACTTCAAGTCCGATCTCCAATACTAACTATCCGCATATAACAATGATAAATATCGTTAGTATTGTTAATACCAGCAGCTCCTCCCTCCCTAGTGGCCGATTAAAATTTTTAAAAATTTTATTTTAGATGGATCCCGTATTTAGGGATATACCTATTTACAATCGAGGTCTGACTGTATATTTTTTAATATTTTTTTCTCTTCCTATAACCTTATTTTTCTCCACAAAATTTTTATCGCAAAATGATCGTCAAAAAAATTTTTTTTATGAAAAAACCTTCTTTCCAGTCAAATTTCTAAATGCTTTATTTGGGGGAAGGAAAAGGTTTAAAAATACTTTTGAGAGAGCAAGCAAGTAATGATATACTGACTGACTATAACGACGCGACAGCCATCCCTCCCTTCCCTCCCTTCCCTCTATCTATCCAAATATATACAACAAAACTAAAAACCAACCAGTCACCCAACCAACATTAAAAAAGGTCATGTCCTTCGACCTCTTACATCCTTTTTAATTTTATTTTATATCGCTCTCTCAAAATTTTTTTCTCATTTTATTCTCTCAAACCTCGTAAAACGACCTTCCACCCATCCAAACAACAACCAAACATCTAAATATATATTCAATTTTTGACTGGACAGTCAAAAACAATTTTATATATTTTAATATCTACTCATCATTTTTATAAATTAATGACACTTTTTTGTATAATTTTTTGTTTAATTCTCTTAATTTTTATTTCAAAAAATGCCATAATTTTCATCAGATTTTTGTTATTATTTAAGTAATTTATGGCAAATTTAAAATTTTTTAAAGTTGATTATCTCAAAATTCCTCTTTTTTAGAGTTGGGGTTTTTTCGGCTTTATTTTTTTCGGGCCGGCCCGAACGAGTCTTTTTCGGGCATTCGATGCCCGACTCGATCTTTCGGACCGGGCCCCCAACCCTACTCCTTTTTGTTTAAATTAATTTTTACCTTCTAATCCACTTTCCCTCATAATCCCCCTTCGATCCTGCTACTAACTACGATCCTTACTTTCAGAAATTTTTAAATTGACCGAAACTGAAAACTATCAAATTTCATAAGTTAATAATTAACCTCTACTATTTCTCTAATTATTTATTTAATTAATTCCAAAAATTTTCTTTTAGTAAATAGTTATTTTTTGATATTGAAATTTAATTTTTTGCTGATAAAATTTAAATGCTTAAAAAATTTCTTTTCATTCTTTTTTAATATTTAAAATATTTTCTTAAATAAAATACAATTTTTTTAATTTTTGGAATTTTTTTTCAATCTTTATTTTACGCCTAAATAATAACACAATTAAATTTTGCAACATTTCTCTACCTCTTTTTTGTTTACAAAATTTAATTGTTCAATTAAATTAAAGATATAATTGAAAAAAAATTATATTTTAAGCTGCTAATTATTTTATTTATTTATTTTTTTAATTAAAAAAAAATTTTGTAAAAAATAATTTTCTATTTTGGGAGTTTATAAATAAAATCATTTTTCTCATTTATTATTACAGAACGATAACTATGTAGCAGATGTATTATTTGTTTTCTAGATTTGTGTTTTTGCAACAAATATCTAAAAACAGAAAATATATTTTTTGAATAAATAATAACCATTTCTTTATTTATTTTTAGTAAAAATTAAAAATAATTTTTAGTTTTAAATATAAGCTTGAATTGGCGAGACGCGACATTTGCAAACACTTATCTTTGCGGCCTAACGCTAGGGCGCCATGGGTTGGTCATGGATCATAATTTATGAAAGTACCTATATTTTTTAAAGATTTTGTGAATAGACTATCCAATAGTGTTTATAAATATCCTATAAAATTTCAGATTAATATTGAAATTTGATTTTATTTTTCACAATTGTCGCATTGCACGGTTGTCGCGTCTCGAATATACCTAATTAGTTTTTGCAAAAAAAAAATAAAAAATGGGGACTATTTTAATTTTTGTCTCGACAAAATTTTAAAGTTTTTTTGCCATTTTAGATTGCCCTTTTGGGTTGTCCTTATTACAGAGGATTTATTTTATCTTATTTAATTATTTTAATTTGAACAAAAAATTACCTATATTAAATTACCGATTAAAAAAAGAAATTAAATCTTTTAATAATTATTAAATTTTTGAAGCAGAATATTTAAATAGAGTCATTTTAATTATCTCAAAAATTTTTTTTAATTGGTTAGAGGATTTATATTCCTTTTTAAGGTCGGATTGAAAATGTAGTTTATTAACTAAGTCTATTAATAAGTTTATTATATTCAAGTTTTATTTAAGTTTATGGTATATAAAATTTTAAAAATGGTCTATAATATAAACTTGAATATATAAAACTTTACGGAAAATAAAATAAACTTGGTTAAATACAAAAAAATATTAAAATACAAAAATACAAAACTTTCCGGAACTCGATATTAATGTATTTTACCTAACTTTCCGGAAATATAATTTTATTAAAATACAGAACTTTCCGGAAGGTTAAATATAACTTTTTAAATCCGGTAAATTATTTACTTTCCGGAAAATACAAGTTGAGGACAATTTAAACTTTCCGGAAAATTATTCTTCTTGAGTATTAGATCTTTATTTTTGTAATAATATTCTTTAATTTTTTTCTACTTTCTAATAAAATTATTATATTATCATGCTAATAGTAATTATATTGCAAAATCCTTTAAAAATCTTTATTCTTTTTTTAATTTATTTTAAACTACTAATCCTTATTTTTTCAAATTAATTTTTTTATTTATAATTTATTAAATCCTTTTATAATTAACTTTTTAAATCCTTAACTTCATTATCCTCATTTAGCTAAATTTATCCTTAAATTAATCTGAAGCCTTTTCAATTATGAACACTTTTTAATCAACTCCTTCACTTATAAAATATATAAACGTCATTTCTGATTTTATACAGTACTATTAGAGATTATAAAATTAACTGTTCTGGTCTAAAATTTTATAGGGTTTGAGACCGGACTCTTTTCACAGGAATCTTGATTAGCAAGACAGCAATAGATCTTTGTTCGAAACTCGTCTCAGTCCGAGCTCTAGTCAGAAATTATTTTCTTCATTAACAGAGGTCGAACGGAAATGAACGAAGGTGCCGGAAATCGGAACTGTCGGAAATCAGAAATGCTCAAAAGTCGGAATTCGGATCGACCTATGTTCATTAACCTTAAACGGACTAGCTTAGAAAAGCGGACTAGCTTAGAAATCTTTTTAGAAATTCAAGAAATAAAGACATATAAAATGGAAAACCCTATTATGATTGTTTTTCTTAGGATTATTTTAAATTAAATTATTTTTAAAAATAAAAATGAAATTTTTTTTGAAGGTTAAAAAACGTACTATGTATAATATTTAAATGCAACTTCAATTTTCTTTTTTTTAATAATTCTAATTTTAAATTTAAATTCTAATAAAAGTATAGCAACTTACAAAAATCTTTTTTTTAATAATTAATTCTATATATTAATTTTTAAATTTTCAATAAAAATTTTCTTAAAATAGCCTTTTTACCCTCCATTTTTAACTCCTTTTTAATAATCACAAAAAAATTGTTTTATTTAATTAATAAAAATGAGGTGATGCCCTTCAATCTTTTTTTTTCTAAAAATTTCTTCAAATAGCTTCACATATATATTTTTTAAAGCGGATTAAAAAGAGATAATTGCTAATTTGCCAAGCGACGGATGCCAATAATCCTTTTTTTGCCTTTCTCTCCTCCCCCTAGTTTTTTTTTACTTTTTAAAAATATTTCTTCTCTTGTGACCTCTATTAAAGTAAATTATAAAAATGTGCCAACCTCTCCTTATTTCCTGCTATTTAAAATGAAGAAAAAAAAAAGATTTTGTCGTTAGTTTGCCATATATGGGGTATTTATATTTTAATAGATACCCTCTCACCTGTCTTTTTAAATGAATATTAAAAAATGAAAATATAAAATAGTAGGGGTATGTATGTTAATTTTGAAAGAACAAGCATTCATTTTTAACATGCCTAATAATTTTATTTTTTATTTAATTTTAATTCTAAAAAATTTAAATTGTCTAAAAATTGCTTCTATTATTTCTCATTTTTGCTTAAATTGGGAAGATAAATTATTAAAAAATTATAAAAATATTTTTTTAATATTTTTTTTGAGTATTTTGTTCTCTAAAATTTCAAAAAAATTATTTTAATTTTAGTTCATGTCCCCACAATTATTCGGTGCATTGCAAAAAGCTATGGCTATAAGTGCTCCTTCTCCCTCACAATTAACTACTTTATTAAATAATTCGAATAATCAACAACAACAAAATGATCAAAATACGATAGCAACTACCCAAAATAATCAAAATACTTCAAATATTGCTACAAGT